ACTTGACTGCTCACCAGAAGGCTGGCAGTTCAAACCCACCAGCCACTCCTCGGAAGGAAGGTTGGGCAATCCTACTTCCGTAGTGATACTGCCTCGGAAATCCAAGGAGAGGTCGCTATGAGTCGGGGCCGACTCGACGGCAAATAACAACAACCACCACAACTGATTTCATCAACATTTTTCAGTTTTTCTAATCATCTGTTTTATATGCTATTCATATGTGAAAGGAGCCCTGGTGGTGCAGCGGTTAACTGCTCAGCTGCTAACCAAAATGTTGGCAGTGTGAACCCATGTGCTGCTGTGTGGGAGAAAGATGTGGCAGTCTGCTTCTGTAAAGATTTACAGCCTTGGAAATCCTGTGGGGGAGTTCTGCTCTGTCCTGTAGGTTGCTATGAGTCAGAATTGACCTGACAGCAGTGGGTTTTTTGGATGCATATGTTCTTTCTCAAATTATAAACCAAAATTAATATGAGTATCATTTATCTTTTTCGTGTTTCTTGAAAGTACAACTGGTAATTTATAAAATAAAGTCAGACCATACAAAGCAAGCATTAACATGTTTGGCTATTAGCATTTAGTATCTTTTTCAATTTGTTAATTTGATTAAATATTGAGTAAATAGATACTTATTATTGCAAATATTTTTGAAGAAGTATAATTTTAGTATTTTCCTTGTAGTCACTCCATGGATTCCTTTGGACAACTCAGACCAGAAGATAACCAGTCAGTAGTCAGCAGAATGCAAAAGAAATACTGGAAAACTAAACAGGTCTTTATCAAAGCAACAGGAAAAAAAGGATGAGCATGTGGTGGCATCAGATGCTGAACTGGATGCTAAACTTGAGGTAAATTTGAGGCTTTTGTTGTATATTGCATATAAAAGCCAAAAAACCAAACCCATTGCCATTGTGCCAATTCCAATTCATGGTAAATACATACATACATATATATATATAATACATATATATATAAAACATAATAGGTTATTGTTTGGGATTAACAGTAGAAACTATATAACAAGCTTTCACCATGAAGAATTTATGGGGATAAGTATCAAATTGTTAATAGAATGTTTAATTGTATCCAACTGTCAAGCAGACAGAGAGAAGGTTATTCCCACAAACTGAGAGTTGGCAGAACTGATATTTGCTGAATTTGATATCATGAACAAAGTAATTTCTATGGCACATGTATTATAGTTTTAAGCTAAATATTAACACATTTATTATATTCCTATGTGGGGCCATATATTCGTTATATAGCATGTGATAACATATTGTAATGTTTTGATGTAAGGTCTTATATGTCATGAAAGCAAGTAATAAATGAGGATTTTATAAGTTAGAAGTTTTATTTCTGTTATTAAGGGATAAATTTATTGGGGGAAAAAAAAGCCAAACTCACTGCCGTTGAGTTGATTCCACTTATAGCAACCCCTCCTTGGGTCTCTGAGGCAGCATCTCTACAGAAGTAGATTGCCTGGTATTCCTTCCAGGAGTGGCTGGCAGGTTTGAACCGCCAGCCTTCTGGTTAGCAGTCAAATGCCTTAGGCACTACACCACCAGAGCTCCTAAAGTTATTCATAATTACTTTTGGCTCTGATTTTAAATACATATCATAATGGCCACGAAAGAACTATAAGCCTAAAGTGTTTTATACTTTTAAGTAATTAAATTAGCTAGAGGGAACCTTCATCTGCTTTAAGTAATTAAAATGAAAAAGCTTGGATTTTTAAGTGCTGTTTTACTAGTATTACGTATCTACACTAAGTTAAGGTAACTCTCACAAACATTTCTAAGGAGGGGTTCTGTTATGCTTAGAATATAATTACTGCAGTGGAATTCTTAAAAATATAGGTCCAGTTAAATAGGTCTTCTTCTACTAATTGTTCTTCATTCTGCAAAAATGAACTTTAGGCATTGTCATAACAAATATGGAAATAGAGGACAAATTAACATTTTTTAAAAATTTATGTCCAGAAGTATTCCTCTCGGGATTCCCCTCATGGGGGAAATCTAAATGTGCTTTCTGTGTCAGAAGTCAACTCAAACTGAAGTACTTAGGGCCAAAGGAAGTAGACATTTCTAAAATAGACATAATGTTTATAAGAAAATATCTGCCTTCGAAGTGTGTATAATAGATATATTTACTTAAGGTTCTTAAATTGTTCTAATAAATTTATATTTCAAGGTTTTTCACTCCATGCAAGAGACATGCACTGAACTTCTGAAGATAGTTGAAAAATATCAGCTAAGACTCAATGGTATGGAATCATAGATATCTACCAGTTAATTCCCATTTAAAATAAATACTGGTTTTTATTTTTAAAAATTAAAGATTTAATGTAAAAGTGTAGTTTATTGAACTATTTTGTGAAGTTTCGTATGGCAAATTATAAATATTCAGAGTGACTCATTCTCAAAGCCTTCCAGAAACCAAACAAACCTGATGCAGATTCATAGTGACTCTATAGGATTTCCAAATCTATAAATCTTTATGGAAGCAGACTGCCACATCTTTCTCCTACAAAGCAGCTGTGAGTTTGAACCACCTACCTTTTGGTTAGCAGCTGAATGTTTTAACCACTACACCCCCAAGGTTTCTTTCAAAGCATCTTACCCATCAGATTCATCTTCCTGATACTCAGTTCTCCTGCCAATTTGATTATTTGCTTCCATCATTTAAAAAGTCCTTTACTTGCAGGAGCACATGGAGGGATGGGCATAGGGAAGAGGTAACTATGGGGAAGAAGTGGGAGGGGAGCTGTTGCATTGTGGTATATTGTAGTCAATGTCATGAGACAAAGTGTATGTGAACTGCTGTATTGAAAATGAACTTGCTCTGTAAACTTTCACCCAAATCACACACACACACACACACACACACAAAATTATAGCCTAGAAAATTTTATGGGGCAATTCTACCCTGTAACATGAGGTTGCTGTAAGCCAAAAATCAACTTGACAGTACCCAACAACAACAAAAAGTCCCTTACGTCACTTGCCCATGGAGTTGTTATCTCATTCCTCTGTTCCAGTTTATAGAAAATGTGGAAATAACTGCCTGTATGTATGGTCTCCATTTCCTCTCTTCCACTTTCTCTTATATTCACTCCCGCAGGTTTTGTATTCAAATCCCTCCATAGAATTGCTCTTGGTAAGGTCATAAAAAACTAAATCTAACAGCCAATTTTCAATTCTTATTTATCATTCATTACAGTTGATTATCCCTCTGTCTTGATACAATCATACTTCCTTGGTTCCTCCTACTGGTCATTCTTTCTCAGTATTCTGCTTTTGCTGGACTCTCCTCTCCCAGACCTCTTAAGATTAGAACTCCATGTTTGGACCTCTTCTCCTATTTTAATTACAGTGGCTGCCTGGCCCTACTAGACCTGGACTAACCCTAGTTGCCTCTCTGATCTCATCTGCTAAAACTTTCTTTTCAGCCACAGTGATCTCCATAGAAGGCATGTCTCCACCTCTAGTGCACTGTGGGCTCCCTAACTTCCTTTAGGTTATTTGATCAAATGGCATCTTTTTAGTGAGGCCTTTCTTGACCCGTTCTAAAATGCAATGTCCCTCTTCCGCATTAATTCCTCTCATAACAGTATAATTTAACAATAATTAACGAAGGTAATAATATATCTTATCTATTGTTTTCCTTTCTACCACTAGAATATACTCTCTTTAAGCACAAGAATCTGTTTCATTTAGTTCTTTGCCTCTAAAACCTAGAAATAATGCCTAACATGTAGTCAGTACTCAATAAATATTTGTTCAATTAATGAATGAATTTCTTATGGAGCTATGTAAATTAATTTCATCACTTTATAATCAAAGCTCATATATTGTCCCATAGAGCAAGAAATACAGTAGCATAATTACTCAAATATTTTTTGAGTACCTGCTATGTACAAAGCTCTGTGCTTTCCCCAAGGAAATAATCGGGAAAACAACTTTTTGTAACATAATAAGAGGTGACACAGAATAGTATAATTGAGTTCAGAATACTGATGCAGACATAACTCCAAATCTCTTGAAGTGAAAAATAACTCTGGATTAGAGTAATCGGTAAACGTAACTCTACAGATGATAACTGAGTTTAAACTTAACAGGGGTTATAATAGTTGAGAAAGAAGATATTTGGAGTCAAGAGAATGAACTTAAAAGTGAAAACAGCTTATGTGGGCAGAAGAGTTTGTAACTGGGAATTGTAGAAGGAAAGGAATGTTAGAATTAGATTACTATAAGGACCTTAATATTTTACCATAAAGTAATGCTGTCAATCACATTCACTGGACCAAGGGAGTCCTGTGAGAGGAATAGAAAAGTAAAAAAACATTGGCAAGTTTATATGTCCTGCATTTTGCTCTGAAATCATGAGATCTTTTGGCACACTGGTGGAACATTACAGGACAAGACAGAGTTACACATACATAGATTTCATTGTGTAGTTTCTCTTTGAGATGATGTATAAATATGTGATTTCTTGAAGCATATTCTGTTAATGTATCTTCTGTTGGGAGTAACATGGGACAGTGACATAATGGGAACCACCTGACTAGGGGAAGAACATGTGGGGCTGGGGCCTCTGCATTTTGGGCAAGCAGATCCTCACACAGCTTCAGCCTCATCTCTTACCATGTCTGCACTGACAGGAGCAAGGCTCAGTGATGATTCACGTTCAGTTGGTATTTGGCCATAATGTGTTCCAAGTTTCCATAGGGCTTTCTGAATCTTCATATACAAATTAATTTTTTCTCTAGTAGTTTTCATTGAGCTGTGTGTTATGAAGTTCTGATTCCAAGGAAATGTATAAACTGTGCTTCTTGTTGTTGTTATGTGCCGTCAAGTCGGACCCGACTCATAGCGACCCCTCCTTGGGTTTCCGAGGCAGTATCACTACGGAAGTAGATTGCCCCATCTTCCTTC